CCCCCGCCACCCCCGTTCGTTCGGCATCATCGCGATCAGGCGTTTTGGCCCAAGAACACGGCGAGAGCTACGTGGTTTGCGAGGACGACCCGACAGACTGGTGCAGCTCGCGAGATGGCACGCCTGGGGGACCGACGCCCAACCAATGGATGTACGGCTCCGCCCGATGACCCCAATAAAACATGCAATATGAATATGACACCGATTGCATCTCTATCCACCGACGAGAGATCCAGGATATATTAGCAATGAATGCATGTAAACGTCAGCGGAAGCGCGCCTTTGCATCGGTTACAGTACCGTGTTGTGTGACTCTTGAAGGGAGTGTATCTCGGAATCATCCCCGAGAGTTTTCCATGGAAATCCAGACGAGCTTCCCCCGGATATTCACTCCCTATCCAACGGCCCTCAAGTAGTCGTGGTTGGTGCAACGACAGGAGCGTGACAATAAAGCGGAGGTCTAGTGATTTCAGTCCACGGCAGCCCTATCGCCAGACTCCCGACAAGCTCACTTCTGTCCCACCACTAGTTGCTTGAATTGAGATAAAGCCTGTTATTGATATTTGAAGACATGGGCGTGCGCGCCTATGAGAATCCTCGTGTGGACGAAGCATAGCGCTGACTTCTTCTCAAAGGCAGTCAACTCTTCTTCAAAATAGTTACAAATCATAATATTTATTCCATTTCACTTTTTCCGATGAGCTCTGCTTGCTCTATCTGTGGTCCCATTTCTCGCGCCGTCTTGTCGAGGCGTGAAGAACGTCCAGCAGCGCTTAGCCCTCTCTTTTGTGTTGGCTTCCGGACGGTTGTGGAGGAACGAACGACTGTCCCCAACACATGCTCCGGCCCTTTTCCCGGTGCTCTCGGCATGCGTCTGTCGGCCGTCGCAAACCAAAATGCTCTGAAGCCCTGCCGGCCAAGTAGCCTGCATCCGCAGCAACCCCGGCTCCAAACCTAAAACAACGAGGCACAAATATGTTAAAAACACACGTCGAACGCACCGCTGTCAACAAAATCCCCCGCCTGTCTCTTCGCACGCGAGCAGGCTGTTCAGGGTGGCCACCTACTTCGGCTACATCTGTTCCTCGCACTTTGCGGTCATCCTCGTCCCCGCGGCCCGCGACAGCAAGATTTGGTCGTCCCTCGGCGTCCCCTACGAGCGGGCCGTGCTCTACCACACCTTTGCCGGCCACCTAGCCTTCACCACCATGGCGGTCCACGCTTTCCTCTTCGTGGTCTATTGGGTGTGGTACGACGGGTGGGCGCACGCCATCCGCGAGTCGATCCACGCCCCCGCGGAGAAGCACCACCACGGGCTCGACATCCCCATGGGGTGGATGGCCCTGCTGTGCGGGCTGCCGATGTGGATTACGTCGATCAACTTCGTGCGGAGGCGCTACTACAGCCTCTTCAAGCTGGCGCACTTCCTGTTCATCGGCGTTTTCGTCTTCGGCGCCATGCACGTAAGTCTCGCTCTCTTTTTTTTTTTCTCTCGACGACCCTTGACCAAGCTAATTGTATCCGCGGTCGGCGTGCGTCTTTCATGAGCGTGGCACGGTTGCGGGTGGCGTTGAAATAGACCGGGCCGACCTTTATTATCATCACGAAGAACGGTGTCAGTTTCAGCCACCACGTGTTTCGGAAGAGTAATAGTCTGCTCTACAGCCAGTTTTTTCCCACCCACTGAAAAGACGTCCACCACATCCCTTTCGATTGACTGGGTTATATTGTATCTCAAACGGTTGTCTCTCTGTGAGATGATGTTTTCATCTTCTAGAAAGAAATCTGCCCTTTCTGTGAGATCATGTTCTGTGCGATCCATGTTGATATCTTCTAAAAAGAAATCTGCTCTGAACAAAGTCACACCATTTTTGCATCAATCCGCGCACGGTGTGGTGCTCCATTTCCCCCCGGAAGACCGTCCAGTATGCTTTCCACGGACTAGTTGCTCACCCGCGGCTACCTACGCATGACGCTGGCAACTCCTCCCGATTTCGTCTCATTCTCTCTCCTCCCCCCCCCTGGTGCGAATTCTGGTCCCCGTGTTCGTTGGTTGTTTTGGTTTACAGTGGTCTCGGAACACGCTCTACTACCTCGGCGGTCTGACGCTGTACACCCTGCACATCATGTCGCGACTCGAGTCCTGGAAGAGGTGAGAAAGAGAGAGACAAACAGAAAGGAGAGGCGTTATTTTATCCGGAAATATATTTCTATGCGACCCACATACCAGAACATGACCTCATCGACCACAGCAGGAAAGACCCACGTTCAATGTATCCTCCANTCCCCGCGGCCCGCGACAGCAAGATTTGGTCGTCCCTCGGCGTCCCCTACGAGCGGGCCGTGCTCTACCACACCTTTGCCGGCCACCTAGCCTTCACCACCATGGCGGTCCACGCTTTCCTCTTCGTGGTCTATTGGGTGTGGTACGACGGGTGGGCGCACGCCATCCGCGAGTCGATCCACGCCCCCGCGGAGAAGCACCACCACGGGCTCGACATCCCCATGGGGTGGATGGCCCTGCTGTGCGGGCTGCCGATGTGGATTACGTCGATCAACTTCGTGCGGAGGCGCTACTACAGCCTCTTCAAGCTGGCGCACTTCCTGTTCATCGGCGTTTTCGTCTTCGGCGCCATGCACGTAAGTCTCGCTCTCTTTTTTTTTTTCTCTCGACGACCCTTGACCAAGCTAATTGTATCCGCGGTCGGCGTGCGTCTTTCATGAGCGTGGCACGGTTGCGGGTGGCGTTGAAATAGACCGGGCCGACCTTTATTATCATCACGAAGAACGGTGTCAGTTTCAGCCACCACGTGTTTCGGAAGAGTAATAGTCTGCTCTACAGCCAGTTTTTTCCCACCCACTGAAAAGACGTCCACCACATCCCTTTCGATTGACTGGGTTATATTGTATCTCAAACGGTTGTCTCTCTGTGAGATGATGTTTTCATCTTCTAGAAAGAAATCTGCCCTTTCTGTGAGATCATGTTCTGTGCGATCCATGTTGATATCTTCTAAAAAGAAATCTGCTCTGAACAAAGTCACACCATTTTTGCATCAATCCGCGCACGGTGTGGTGCTCCATTTCCCCCCGGAAGACCGTCCAGTATGCTTTCCACGGACTAGTTGCTCACCCGCGGCTACCTACGCATGACGCTGGCAACTCCTCCCGATTTCGTCTCATTCTCTCTCCTCCCCCCCCCTGGTGCGAATTCTGGTCCCCGTGTTCGTTGGTTGTTTTGGTTTACAGTGGTCTCGGAACACGCTCTACTACCTCGGCGGTCTGACGCTGTACACCCTGCACATCATGTCGCGACTCGAGTCCTGGAAGAGGTGAGAAAGAGAGAGACAAACAGAAAGGAGAGGCGTTATTTTATCCGGAAATATATTTCTATGCGACCCACATACCAGAACATGACCTCATCGACCACAGCAGGAAAGACCCACGTTCAATGTATCCTCCATGGCCCTATTCTCGCCCCCTGTCTTGCCCCCCCCCGCCCCCCCCTCCCCACCCCTCCAGGTGGCGCTACTGGAACAGGTGGTTCAAGCCCGAGACGAAGGCGAGCCCGACCAGCCTCGTCAGCGCCTACACGAACGAGAACTACACCCGCCTGGTCCTTCGCAACCCCAAGAAGGCCTCCGCCCGCGGGGGATCGTTCGTCTACATCAGCGCGCCGGGGGCGCTCGGAACGGACGAGGCCCACGCCATCACCGTTGCCCTCCGCGGGCCCCCCCCATGCCCCCCCTCCTCCGCGAAGGTGGCCCCGTCGTCGGAATCCGCGGAGCCCCCCCGGGAGGAGGACGTGTTCACCGTGTACATCAAGGACCTGGGTCCGTGGACGAAGGCCCTGAAGCTGACGGCGGAGGGCGCCATCACCGCCCGTAGCCCGGCCTCCGCTCTCCTGGTGGACGTAGACGGCTTCTACACCCAGGTCGACTCGTTCAACTCGATGATGATCGGCGGCGCGCCGCGGGTCGTGATCGTCACCGGCGGGTCCGGCATGACGTCCGTCTTCGGCTTCATCCAGGTTAGAGGGGGGGGCGTACAGTAGTTGTGTTTTGCATGCCTTACCGGTTAGACCGTTGACCACGGGTCCTCGAGAGGACGGAGCGTTGGGAGGGGGGGGAGGGGGGGCGTACTCTTATGTTTTGCATACCTTAGCGGTCAGACCATTGGCCACGCGTCCTCGAGAGGACGGAGCATTGTTCCCACAGGACCGATCACCGATGGCCAATCGTTCCTTTCTACTTTGCCAAAGGTGGCTCAAAAATGTCTTCCCTAGTCTGTCTATCCTAACGATATCCCTTCCCGCCTTTTCAACCCACCTCCTATGCCCCACTACAGCTACCGTCCTTTCCTCTCTATTCCATGCCTCAAACATCTCCCTGTACGTTCCATCTATTTTTCCCAGCTCAGTCACGTACACTTCCCTCTCCTTCTTGTACCACGGACATTCCGCGACTACATGAACACGGTCTTCGCATTCGAAGCCGCAATCACATTTGAACTCGTCGTCTTCCTCGTCTACCGTCCTATGTCTTCGTCGACGTTCTCGAAGGCCTATGTCCCCGGTCCTGAATTTGACCTTAAGCTTTGTTCCTGCATCCATTGGTCCATGTAGGTAGTCCTTGAACCCTATTCCTTCCTTCAACATTCCGCACACTTCTAGACCCTCATTATCCTTGGTTTCTTTCTTTAGATTCTGTTCTTCTATCTCGGCACAAGCAACAGATATCTTCTCCTTGAACCCCTGTAGACCCTCCGTTTCCAGCGTTTCATCTTCGTCGATGTCGAGCCCCTTCCATACGTCCTCTACAACCTTGACCCATTCCGTGGGTTGTCTACCCCTCTTTTTGTTTGCCCACTTCGCCTCCCATACAATTCTCGGCAACCTCTCCTCTCCCATCCCGCACATGCGATACTGCCAGGTCAGCTTCCTCGCGTCTCTTCCCGACCGTAGGGATTGGATCCCCAATTCTGCCCTCACGGCTGCATTACTTGTGCGCGTGGAGCATCCTAGGATGATTTTCGCTGCTTTCATCTGCGCCGCCTCGAGTTCTTTCACTACCTTCTTATTTCCTTCCCACACTTCTCTGGCGTGCTCTGACG